TATATATATATATATATATATATATATATGTAGAGTAATAATATTAATAATAATACAAATAATAATCGATGAAACGTTTTTACACTTCGTATCAATGTACAAAAAAAGGCGAACGTTCCTTAAAAAACAACGATATCAAAATTAATCTTAGTCTATGTGGTATTTCTTTTTACGGTATAATACATACACGGGGAAAAGGGGGGGATAATACACGCATACAAACAAACAAGCACAAACACGCACGCGGTTGCCTTCATACGCACGAGATACAATAGTTGCCTTTGTTCGAGTCTAAACAATTTAATACTTCTTACATGTCTTCGTTTTTATCGAATACTCTCGTCAGACTTGGTTCTTTTTTTTGTTTTCTTTCACTTTTGTGTAATTTGCAAACTTTGTAGACGGCTTGGCATAATACGTAAGACACTTTATACTGAGTTCCATCATTATATCGCCAAACTCGCGTGTTTGTGTTTTTGTCTCTCGTTAACTATAATATATTCTTCTATTACATATAGAGCGTTCCAAAAACATTAATTGGCAATATTTTGTAAAAACAAAAAAAAAAAAATCAAGATATATAAATCTTTTTCTCACGAATATTTTCTTCGAAAAAATTAATTTTGAAAATTAAGAAAAAAAAATTTTTAATTTATTGATTTATATTCGTTTGTATTCTGCATTTTCACTTTTTCCATTAAAAAAATTGTATTTTTTTCATAAATTACAATTTTCGGGACACTCTATACACGTGGAAACGTAGCTTTCTCTTTGGCGTCTATTAAGCTGCATTTAGACGATAATATAAAAAGAGGGATTCATGTTAATCAAAATTACTATCGAAAAATACCACTTTAATGGGATAAGGAGGGCTTTTCTTTGCAATCGTATGTCTTTTTGAGCCAAAAAACTCTAAACTTCCTTGCACAAAAATTCGATCTATTGAATTCGATTCTTCGTAGAGAACTCGAGCATATGGAATGGACGATTATTAAATATGTATAACAAATGTTGCACATTATGAGAAACATCGTTCCCTAAATTCCGCAGAATCTCCAAGAAAAAACAAACCATTCTCTCTTTTCCTTTTTCTCTCTTTTTCCATTTTTCTCATTCTCCTAAATGTTTTGCGAAATGTTTGCTATTGTATGAGTACACAAGAATATGGTATCTATAGGATGACAGGATCCGTTGCTTCCTACAAAAGGGCTCGTATAAAAAGATTTAGATTCTCTGTTAGGAACACACGTCACGTGAAAAAGTACTTATTTTCTAGAGCACAGATGCGCCAAATTGCATATCCAGTACACAAATTTCAGGCTTTAGGTTTAAAAAACTTTAATCTCAGACTTTATACAAATTTATTATTTTTAGATTTCTCCTTTAAAAAACTCTCACTCTTTAACGATTTTCTCTCTTTTTTCTTTACAAATTTTCAGAATACTTTTAATATACAAATGTAATATAACATTTTTACCAATTTGCTTTGACTAATCCTCTCTTTGGCCAATTTCTCACCTGAAATTTCTGCACCATTACACGCTCGTCTTTATTTCAAAAACCTTATCTCAGGAAAGATCATCAATTTGATTGCGCGCGAGCAACATTGTCATGCTCAGA